CCCCAAAACCCCAAAACCCCAAAACCCCAAAACCCCTACTGCAAATTCTAAAATTGATTAAAGAATTATGAATAATTTGAACTCTGTAAAGTACAATAAGGAAAATTTGGTAGAGCGAAAGCCAAATTTTCCAAGCTTGAAAGCCTGAAAAGGAAACAAAAAGACATTTGAACGGGAAAATTTGGATTTTGTGAAAGATATTCCAGAGAATTTGAGGCCTAAGAGAGAGGTGGAAGAGATAAGAAAGGTAAAATAAAGATTTATGTGTAGAGAAATGTGGATTATAGAAGGAGGAATAAGGCATTTGGGACAAAGAATATGAGTTTTTGAGGGCAAGAAAGCCAAAAGTTGACAAAATACAGCTTTGGATGAGCTAAATTCTCGGTGCCTAGTAGTTTCCAGAAAAATTCAAAATTTTCTAAAACGAAGTTAATTTCAAAGAAATAGTGTCAATTCTTCGGTGAAAATGAGAGAATTCATGACTAATCATAAATTTCAGTTGGAGAAATCAAGAGAAAAAACAGGAAAGCTGTTGAATAAAAAGGAATTATCAACCAATACTATTACAATCATGCATGATAAAGAGAAAAGCTTCAAAGAATCTACCATCGATCATAACCTAAATTACTCCGATTCAAATTCAGGGAATTTTGAGCGAATTTACAAGACATATCGCAATAACTTGGACATCACTAACCAGAAATGCTCTCAGAAATATCTAAAATCCAATTGAAAAATACAGAAGATATTATCAGGTTATTTGAATTCTTCAAAATCACAAAACATTAGTTGAAGTACTTCTCAAGCATCTTTGAGCCAAAACCTAAGGTCATTTCACTCACGTAATAATGACTCATGAAGGGCACATCTACGTCCGAAATCTAGCTTTGTCGGACATCCCAAACTGTGGCAACCTAATCTGCCACAAAGAATAGGCCAGGGATCAGGAAGTGTTGACGAAAGTGATTTGAGAGATACTCACCATAAAAAGCTCAACGCAGCCAGTATCAATCTTGATAGACAGGTAATCCTCTCCTCAATCTTGTAGGATATACATGACATGTATGGAATTAGAGCTCGAAGCTGAATAGATCAAAGAAACGAAGATTCTCGTACTGATGAGCTTCTAAGGAAATTATCTCCCCAGCAGAGACAAGAGATATTCAGGATCAGAGAAGAAGGAAAGCACCGATGCAAACAAATTTTACACCAAGTAATTTTAAAATTTAGCTTTTAGATTGGAGAAATTTAAATCCAAAACTAGCGAGAAAGCACTAGAGACTAGTTCAAGGAGAAGTCAAAGCCAGAGCGAAGAGTATATGAAATCAATAGCTGGGAATTACCAAGAGATCCTTAAAAGTCTCAGCAATAATGAAGTTTCAGCGAAGTTAGAAGGTTATGAAGCTCGAATGAAGACATTTCAGACAGAAATCCAGAATATTCAGGCTGATATATCTCAACAAAGTTTACTCCTAAACAAAAAAATGAGTCAAAATTATGCTTTGAATTCTTCAAGCCAAAAATGGCCTACCAGTGTTAATGAATCGGATGTGGTGTATCGGAAGAGGGTTTTGGATAATTCAGAAAATTTTAATGCAAAAGAGTCCATAATCATTCAGAATAGCTCTTTAAGTAAATATAACAGCTGAGGTACACTGGAACCAAGATTTTCAGAAGAGAAAATGAATAATGGAAAGACAAAACTTCATCGCAAGAATGCATCTAGAAGTAGTATATGTGCTATCAGTACTTTAAAAGATGTTCAACCTTCTCCAGTACGGCAAGAAGATTTTATAAATAATTCAGGAAAGAAGGTGCAAACTGATTTGAGGTCTTCTTACATTTCAAATAAAAGCAACCCTTACAGTAAAAAGCTGGTAGATCAAAGTCAAGTTTTATGAGATGAGGAAATAAAGATCTATGAAATGGAAATAGAACTTCTCGTAAAGAAACTCAAATATTACCAAACACAACTTCAACACCTAGGAGATGAAGTTACTTCTGATTGGGAACTTATGATCCAAACAATTCAGAGGCAACTTGAAGAGAAAGAGAATGAACTAATCCAAAAGAAGAACATAAAGCATACTTCTCAAGCTCAACATCACCCAAAAACCTGCTTTAATTACCAATTTAACTCCTCTCAAAGACTAAGTATCACTAAAACGACTAAAAACAGACCTAACCACCAACCCATCAACCTCCACATCCTCCCCAAAGCCCACACCCCCCATCTTTCTCCCCTAAACGAATCAGCCACAAGCCTCACTTCAATCCCAAACGAGCACACACCCCACCCCCAAGCCCACGTTCAACTATCAACCCTTCTCACCACCCACCAAATCCATTCAAAGCCAACTGTAAATTTCAGAGGAAGTCCCGTTCAAGATCCTCCTACTTCCTCCCAAGAAGGGGGCTCTCCCAGCCAAAGTTTGTACGTAGAGAGGAAGAAGAGGTACGAGGGGCTTAAGGAAAGCAAGCGGTTTTATGAAAAGAACTGATTTAATAGGGATAAGTAGAGATCGAGGGTCAATCTTTTGGAGGAGTTAAGGGGTTTTGGGGTTTTGGGGTTTTGGGGTTTTGGGGTTTTGGGGTTTTGGGG